TTCCAACCTGAATTATCTTAAAGCTCTAAGCAACATCTACATCTACATACTAAATTGGATGCAAAGATCTCTCTTGTGTTACTTTATATTTACATTGTCTATTCTCCAAACATTCATTATTAACTGCAACAAAATCAGTAAAGCCATTGGAGTTGTTGGATGGCAAGGGTAACTTACGTGCATAGGGTATTTTGGTCTTCCTCCAGTAGCAATAACAATATTTTCTGCAGTAACAATAGTCTAAAAACAAAAATACAAAATCAAAATCAAGCATTTTAAATCCTTTTATCTGTCTTTAGATTGTATCTATGTACAAATGAGTGATAAATGAGAAAGCTGGCACTACCATCTACTACTGATATGTCATAATAATCAGCAATGCATTAAAAAAAGGATGTAGATAAACTAATACATTCAGGAGTTTCTCCTACACATTCTCTATCAGTTTTTGTTTTAATGTTAAGCTTACAATCGTTCCCATACTGGACAAGATTCCGATGACTACTTGGAAGCAACAGTTGTGCACAAAAGGCAGCTTTTTAAAATCAATTTTTGCTTAGGACAAAATACACAGAGATCACAGCAAGTGAATTTTGACTCTAAGGCCTGGAGTTAAGCTACCTCAAAAGTGATATGTTTATAGAAAACGCTAGGCATCTACGCCCAAAAACTTTTGCTCTCTCAAGCTGATATTAATCAGTAATAGTATATAATTACCCTCAAAAAGGTGTTAAAAATGCATGTTCAGTGTCTCATTAAATACACAAAAATGGCCACCATTCCGTTACATGACCCAGTTGCTTGAAGCTGTGCGTTCAGTATAATTGCCTCCCACACACAAGTTTGTATTAGAAAGCTAATCACCCTTACAGTTCGTCTGAAGGAGGAAAACATCTCAGACTGATCTAATGCCCAGAGCAGTAAGGAGATGTTGGTCCTCTTTACGTCTCTGTAAATATCTATCAAAGCAGTGTGACTCTGACCAAAAAAATTGCCATCTTTTGTCTCAGCATTTTCATCTGCAGAAAAAAAGTCATGGCATCTAGCAGATTAGGGGCTATGAACTCAGTAGGCAACAGTCAAATTCATAAACATCTTCTCTAGGTGGAAAATGCAAATCTCCCTCACCAAAACAATACTGAATACCTAAAGAAATTTGCAAAACTACAATCTAGCTCCCAGTCGACCTGAAAATCAACACATGAAGATGTGAAATGTTTGAAGTGAATGATACTACAGAAATCAGCACAGCAGCTCACCTCTTTACCTGCTTTTGTTAAACCACGGATTGTATACGGGTCAGAAAAACTCCCTTTCATGTTGAAATATTTCACCTTCCTGTTTAGAAGAAAACAGAAACATAAATGCACACTTAGTGAAGAACAGGAATGAAATACAATCAGCTACCCTTTCCATATCTGAAGTGCTAAAAAGGATAGCAAACAGGCATAGAAAAGTAAAAAGAAGAAAGCATTTCATGTCATAGGACTGTTTGCAGCTCTGTCACACGATTTAAGTCACTTAATTCTTGTGTCACAGTTAACTCCTCTATACAGAAAGGACTTGTAAACTCAAAGTTTTAGCTCTAACGAGAAACTCCAAAGGCAATTCAGCAATTCTACAAGGCAAAGAGCTCTTTGACTATGGGAAGAAAGATGAACTTCAGAGTCTTATTTACTTGTCTTGTAGTTGCACTCTGTGTCCCCAGTTCAAGGATTTCACATAATTCTGAACAGCTTGTGACATCACAGACCTATCACAAAACAAGAAACCGAACGCGAAGTTATCACATTACAAATTCAGATTATGCAACACAAAGATACAGGTAATTGCTAGAAATTAGGAACGTTCTACAGTACTTTTTGTTAAAAAAGTCAGTTATCAAGTCCAAATCAACATAGAATCTGCCCTGATAAACCAGTAAATAGTTTCATGTTTTAAACAGGGAGCAGTCTAAAAAGCTTCATGCAAAATTGACTTCCCTAACTGTTCTTAAATAAACACCAACTGGGAAAAGCTGTTTTGTATTTGCAGCACATAGGAGCAGATATGGGCAATAATCTTTAAATCTTTACCAGGTATGATGAACAGGTTGGGCTATATTCCAGCCATAGCGTTGGGCATCTTTAAGGGCACTCCCTAAGAGGGCTGCTTGATGCATAAGCTTTTTAGGAATACAGCCAACATTCACACAAGTCCCACCAAGTCCCCATTTGGTTCCTTGGGAAAAAAAAAAAAAAAAAAGTAAATGCACCAGGTTGTTACTTAGAGAATTAGATTGTTCATGCAATTAGTTAAAAAATTCTGAAACAACACACAGTTTACTGTCTCCTACAGATCAGTTTCTAACTCTGCTTATGTTTGTTTGTTTTGATAAAAACCTTTCCTATATATTTTTCTTCTAAAATTCAAACCATCTCAACATGTTTATATGAAGATCCAGTCACTACACATCCACATTTGCTTACTTGCATTTGCAGATCTTATTTTACATATTGTACAGGCAGAGCCTCAGCATGATGTGCTTCACAATTTTTAGAAACTGTAAATGACATTTTCACAGAGACAATATTCTTACATATTTAAGTCCAAAGTCTACTACAAATGGTAGCATCAAACACTGCTAACAACCTTAATGTGCAGGGGAAGCAGGCAGAGCTGGGACATGATTGGAGGGAACGAGCAGTACAGAAAACTGGGCTTAAGGACTTTTACTACAAGCAGAACAGACAGTGTGACTTTGGCCACTTTTCTGCCTGGAGCAATCTGCTCACCGAGGCAACCGTTCCATACACATGTCCAAATATTATCCTAGTATTTCTCTTCCGTACCTTGTGGAGAAGGTTCCACATAATCCAGAACAGCTACTTTCCTTCCAAACTGAGCAGCTTTTTTTAAAAAAAAGCAAGACAAGTTATTTAGAGAAATAAGAAATGCACAAACCTAAACACTTTTAGTAGCACAGATACAGATAAAGAGTACAGGAGATGACAGCTGGTGGTTTTTATTGTCTAACTCAAGGTGCTAGACTAGGGACCCAGTAGTCAGCAGATCTCCAGAAACCACTTAACAACTCAGATTAGAGCCTCCAGTTTCCACCAATCCTAAAAACGTAATTTGAACCCAAATGAGATGTTTAAGAACCATGTGGGTTGTTGAGCACATTACATTGAGTTACAAAAGGGCAAGGTTCTCTACCGCAGTTAAACACTTCTTGGAAACAGTCTAAATAAAAAACAATAAAATACAGTATCTATGAAGGCACTCAGAATATTTCATAATGACAGTGAAATAAAAGCTTATTAGACTTTCCCATGACAAAATAAGTATTTTTTAAAAGGTTAACAGGAAAGCTGAACAAGTCCACCCCACCTAAGGGTGTGAATTAATTTGCAGATTAACTGTATGGAGTTGAGTTAATGATTAATGTGCAGGGGCTGAAGTATACTATGTATCTTAAAAAGCTTTAGTATTATCAGTAACACTTCTCTTAGTTTCCATAAACACCATTTAAGTTTATACATACAAACCTTCTTTTGCACAAGCAAGGCCCCCAGATCCTCCACCAATTACCAGAAGATCATACTCGTTTTTTCCTGTGAAGAGGATGTGAAAAAAGAAAGAAAAGAAACAATCAAGGAAGATGGGAGAGGTACGTAATAAGGTAAACATCAAAATGTACACTACTTTTTACAATTGGTTATTGCTGATTTGGATTTTTTTACTTTGCTAGAGCACTGTGTTTTTTCGAAGTCCCAAAACATTCCTCAAAAATTGGCAACCTATCTGGTCTGGTTTTGAGAATGAAATATAGAAAATACAGTAATCCAAAAGAATTGAGGAAATAGATTAGATTTTTACACAATGTCCCAAGAAGCATTTTCTACATGATTATACAGTTGCAACCGGGATCCAGCATGGGTCTTTTGTCTGTGCATTACAGCAGCAAGTTCTACACAGTGATTTTTTTCATTAGGGTCACCTTGTCAGACTTGCAAAGCTTCAGCTACAATGTAAGTAAGCCTTGCAGGGGTGTGCTGTCCTGGTCAGAGGGAAGCTGGCCCCCCTCTGCCACCTCACCCTCCTCACAGATCAGCCCAGTCTCCCAGAGCAGTTCTGAAGTGGCAGAAGCCCATAGGTGAGCAGTGCCTCTTTCCTTTGCACAAGCATCAGGACAGCCCCTTCTTTCAGAGCTGTTAGCAGCTCAGGGAGGACAGGGGAGGCCCACAGCATCTAACAATAGCTGTGCAACCACAGGGCTGGGGGATTTTTCTTGGCCGTTCAGGTTGGGCAGTTGGGCTGGGTAAGGCTGAGACCCGCCGCCGGTCGTGGGAGTTAAGCCTAGAGGAAAGGTTTGGCTGCCCCTCGGGCTGTGCCGGTGCCGCTCCAGAAAGCCCCATCGCAGGAGCGCAGGAGGCCTCGCCTCACTCACAGCCACCTGCGGCCCAGGATTCCGTTTGCAACGCGGGGGCCGAGGGACGGGCTCCGAGAGAGGCACCGGGCAGGGGTAGCGCCGAAAGCCGTTACGGATGGAGCCAGCCTGCAGCTCTCCCCGCCTCAGCCGCTGAGGGAGGAGAGTGGCGCCGCGGGGCGGGGGGAGGGCAGCGGTCTGCGGTCCCCACAGCGGCCGCTAAAGTGAGGCGTCCGCGGCCCTCTCCCCGCCGTGCGGGTGGTGGGAAGGGCTCGGGGGACCCTCCCCAGCCGCTTTTGGCGTCATGGGGAGAGGGCAGCTCGCTTCCCGCGAGGAAAGGCGGAGATACGGCCTCTGCCAGTCCCGAGCCCAGCGGACACCCCGTACCTGAGAGGGCTCGCACCGTACAGCACAGCCCCGACACTCGCCGGAGACACTCCCGCCTCCGCCACAGCGCCGCCATGCTGTACGGCAAAGGGCCTCCGCGCCGAACCAGGACCCCCGCGAGGTGGCCGACCAGCGCCTGAGTAGAGGGCGGCGATGACGGGTTGGTGAGGGCCGCAGGATGGCGGGGGGGTGAAGGGGTCGAGTATCGCCGTGTCGCGGGTGCGAACACAATGTCCACCCTGCGCCCGGAGCTCCGGCTTCTGGAGCCTTTTGATATGGCAGGCACAGGCTCTGGCGTTAGGGAAGCGAGTTTGAGCTAAAATCAAACGTTTGGGAGGGAATACCACCCCCACCCCCCCCCGCGTTGCTTGACTGGCTTTCTCCCAAGATCCTGCTGCAAAAGAGGTTCAGGGAAGCCTTTCGGGAAAGAAGAGAAGCATGAAAACAGCCCAGAACCTTCACCGATATTGAGAGCCCTGTTTTTTCCCGCTCTGAAACCGCACATCCCTTTGTAATGGACACGGTGAGAGGTGGGATGTCGCAGCCCCTTCCTCAGATGCAGCGCATGGGCTGGAAGTTAAAAACCTCAGAGAAGATGGTTTGAATAAGGCCTCTCACTTCCACGAGGTATTACAGGCAACACGTGATGTTGCTTCGGATTCCTGTGGCTAAGGTACATCAGTGTTGAGAGAGACACTAGGAACTCTTCTCTGAGAGAAGACGACTTCCTCAACCAAAATGGTGGAGCCGGTGCTACACAGGTCAGTGAACCAGACCAGCGCAAACAGCTTGGTTTAACAGTGATGGTGCAGATGACCTGTCGGAGCACCTCAGATGATTCACAGCCTTTGGCAGCATCTCCTGTCCCTGTGCCACATGCCAGCTATTGATTAAACTAGGGCAATGGGAGTTGTGAGAGTTATTAATGCTTGTAATGTATTTTGGCAGCCTAAGGTAAAAGGCCTCAAAGTAGGCATTGATTAAAACAATACCACAGGGAACAAGGTCTTTCTCATTTGGAAGTGCTGGCTGTTGTCCTTTACCGAAGCACACTAGTGACCCCCCCCTGCTGCTGTATATAGTGAATCGTATGTGATAAATACCACCATAGCCAAGTCAGAGTTTGGGACAAAGAATCAATTGCTTTTTCCTGGGGAGAGGAAGCTGGCAACAGAAGTTTTAGGCAGTCATGGTTCAGCTGGCTCCGGAGCAAGGGCCTGCCTCACAAGGGGGCAGCATCCAACCATTTTGTTTCAGAAACCATCAATCATCCAGTACACGGTTGAGGAGAAATGGCAGGAAATTAAAATACTCAAAAGCAAGTTTTGTAGAACTAACATCACCACCAGTGTAGGTCTGAATATTTTTTTTTCTCACTCCATTAATGTTTGAAAATACTAGAAAATTACTATCACTTCAGGAAATAGATTGACAATTTGTCCAGTATCATTGTTGTTAAAAGAAAAAAAAAAAAAAAAAAAGGCAAAACTCCCCTCTGTTGCCTCCAACAGCACTAATCAATAAATCTCTAGAAACACTCTTACCCACTGCAGCAGCAGTAGAACTGAGAGGCTTTTGAATTAAAGAAACCTCAAGCATATTCAGATACTAATCTTTTATGCTTTGCAGGTACACGCATGCAAAGTTGTTTTAGTTGTTCAATTTAGCCACTATCCTGAATTGAATCAGACAGTGTTGAGCATATGCTCTTTACACAGCATGAAGTTCAGACATGTAGGATCCACGTAGGATCAAGGGTAAAATTAAATTTCCCCAAACACAAAAGAAGTTTATGTGAAGAAATGTGCCTGCAGCATTATGGTATTTTACTAATAAGGAAAGGCCTTAAATATAGCAAAGCTGTTGATAGAAAGCAGTACCTTTAAGCAGCACCTACAGTGGCAGTTTAGGAAAGAATTGTTGATGAATTTGGGGTAATGCTCCTAAACTCTTTTAAGGGTAAGATCTTGGCCAAGTGCTAATTGTAACAGCCACACTGTACACTAGCATTACTGATTGCTTTCATTATTTTAGAGCTCAGAGTCTAAGTGAACCACAGCCTACACAGCAGTGGTGAGATTTTGGCTTCTTTTAGACATTTGTGTGTTCCTAAACACGTCATCACACACCCTTTTTTCTCTCTTGAAAGCGAATCAGTTGGTCTCCCTTGGCATCCTTCTGAAGGCATCTGGGAACCAGAACTATCCACAGCTGCTACTGTGCCACTGGCAGACAGTGTGAAGCTGGGGTGTCACCAGCCCCCTGGGTGTATCTCACAGCTAATGAGAAAACACTGTGCTGTTACACAGGCCAGGGCTTTCCCATCAGGACCACCATCTTCAGAAGAAAATACAAAGTCTGTAATGCTACTCTACTTGTTCTTGCACGTTGTCACGAACTTAGTCATTGAGACCACTAGAGGCAAACATCAACAATGAGGAGTAGGTTTTGCCCATGGTGACAATATCAATAAGAGGAGTAGCCACTGATATTTGCTGCAGTCAGCACTGAGCAGGTATGTCTGCACTGCACTTCAAAAATCTTTCTCAGGGAACAGAGACAGATTTTGGTTATCAGACAGGGTTTCTAATGTGTCTTTGGCTCATCTCCTATAGCTTCTAGTCTCTTAATTCTTTTGTGGTTAGCATTAAGCTGATCAGAGTAATTATTGAGATACACGTTTTTTTTGTATATATATATATATAATATATATCAGTTTCTTTTAAGAAAGCAAGAATTAATTCCATTAGTGTCAAATACATTCTAGTATCAGGAATCATTTACATGAAGCATTGTGTTTCTGCAAAGAAAGCATATTTTTTCAAAACTTGGGATTAAAAAGAACTTTTTACAAGATAGCTATCAGACTTAAAATCATATTTCCACAGAATTTTGCCAGTTGTGGCTAGTCATATTTAAAGTCATAAGTTAACTTTATACATTAGATGTGGTCTGGTCGATTTCCAGGGAGAGGTGTTTATTCGGTGTACTATAAACGGTGGGCTATTAAGAGGGCAAAGGATACACCACTGTAATATGTTTCAGAAATGTGTATAAATCCATTCAACAAAATACAGGTTTTGCAAGGCATGAATTGATACTGTTAGTGATCGGACTTTCTTCTTTTGAATGTATTGTAAGGACAGCTTGGAATTCTGTACTTTTTTCCCCTTTTTGTTAGATTTATCGATGGCTTACTTAAATTCTTCCTCATGAAGACAACCAGGACCAATACTTTTTATACTTAACATTTTAGAAATTTTGACTTTTCAAACACACCTTGTCTTCCCTGTTTTTCCGGCATGATTTTGCTTTATGTCTTATGTTGCCAGATTAGTGACCTGTAAGAGTGGGGGAAAGAAGAGAGGTTTCAGGCAGATAGTTGATACCATTTTTGGAAGTCCTAATATTGTTTCTTTTTTAGTGGGGGGGTGGGAAATGGATTACATCAATGGTTGCATTTTGTGGCATGACCTAATTAATAATTTATAAGAGTGTCAGTGAACTGTGCTGGATCACTGGTTGAACTAAGAGGTCTCTACATGAGGTAGGACTTTTTGATTTCTTACCGTCTCTCTTGTGATTGATTGTAGTTGGGGGTTTTTTTTGGATTTTTTTTTTTTCTTCTCGTTTCTCTGCTAGTGTGTGGCATGGTGTCCTTAGCATCAAGGAGGAGGGAAAATAAAAGCATGTGGAAGACAGGCATGTCAAACGGTGAATGCAAAAGTGGAAGTACTGACATAGTCCCTGGTGACTGAGAGAACTATATCCCAGAGCTACAAACAGGACAGAATAAATGGTAGCAGGGGAGGGGTCGTTACCAGTCTTTTTTCAGAGGATGGTAAAATGCTCTTATGATTCAAATTACTACATATATGGATAGAATTCTAATGTGGGGGTTGCTCTGACAAGTGAGGATCCTTGTTTGAAGGCACAGATCCAGGGTAAACCACAGAAGTATTTTTACCACTTTTATTTGAGGCTTCTTAACTGTCATGTAAGAATTTTCTAATACTACTTTTTTTGTTGAGTACTGCTTTACATTGGCATGAAGGAATCTGTGGTTGTTTGCTTACAATCAAACTGCTGTATTTTTCTGCATTTTTTGATATCTGCTTTTAATAGCTTTGACAAATCAATCTTCAGGAGAGTTAAAAGTCAAACTGATAAGGGAAGAAAATTACTAATTTTGGTTTATGAGATCAAGATGATGATCAGATTTCTATGTGAATTCTACAGACTTTACAACATTTTGTTAAACTGGGAGAAATATATCCCATTAGCTAATAATTTTTTATGTGAGGTCTGTAAATGTATCTAAAACAACTACATTGAGAAAGCTAAGAAAAGTACACACATCATAGAATTACTCGAAATGAGGTCATAATTTAAATTCCATTTCTAAAAGAAAACCAACCAGTCTAATATTTGCTAAGTGCCCCAAAATGACGTCTTGTTACAAAGAATACATCCTTCAGTTAACAATGTTTCATCTTTTGGAAACATTTGTTCATAAACCATCAAAAATGGTTTAACATTTCAGTTTTGTTGCTATTTCCGTCTTGTTTGCCTTCCCCTCCCACCTCCGAAATTTCTCTGAGATTAGGATTTGTCATTATTCAGATTTTAGTCTATGCCATTTTATTCCTTCCTTCCTTAACATAGAATCTTGTATTCATAGTTTATCCTAAACAACTAATTGATTGCAAGTTAGGGAAAAAGCCAGCAGAAACAGATGAAGCTTCAAGTAACACAAGTTCTTAACTTAATTCAAATGCTTCAACATATATTACCAAAAAAGTGAGTGGAGAAAAGACAGAAATATGACAGGCTTATCTGAGCCTCAAAGTTTTCATAAGGAGTTATAAAGTCTTTGAAAGCAGAAAGGTTATTTTCAGTCTACATGATAACCTTTTAAGATGCATAGTAAACACAAAATAGTCTGCTGCTTGTAGTATCTGTTAACATTTAGAGTAGAACTTTTGCTGTACATCTTTTGTCTCTTTTAGCTGTTTCCTATTTTAGATATCTCCAGGCAGTTTCCTGATGCATACATGAGTGGTGCTTCCTTTCTCAAAATTTCTCTTTTGCACGTTTCTCAGCAAGAGAAACTACTTTGACTGTGGAAAACAGCAAATTCACATAAAAGAAAATCCCTCATGCCATTCTGAAAATGCAAACTCAAAGGAATTTTCTTCCACTCAGTGTTTCACATGATCTGTGGGATTTATGATAATGTGCTAGCATTCCTGTCTCCCTTTGTTTAGGCTTTTAAAAACTAGCCTTTGGCCAGGATTATTAGAAGAAGGGAATGCCATTTGTTGTTATGACAGGCATGGATTTAGTGGGAAGGCTTTAGCTCCATGCTATATACAGCAAGTGGGGATAGCACTGCCATGTTGAGACTGGGAGCTCTGTACGTGAGGAATTCTACTCAAGTTTGTGCAGATAGATCTGAGCTTAACTCTGTCAACTGTCAAAGCGAGTCAGTCTGAACTAGCCAGTTATTCTGACCTGTTGCCACTCACGTGATGTTGCTCCCAAGCTAAGACATCCCGAGTGTACATCCTCCCATAGATGTGCCCTGTGAATGCAGTATCTGGACATTCTACAATACCAAATCCATCTTTTAAGGTCTTGTGTCTACATAAAAATTCTACTACACCAATACATTTATAGCTCTCCACAGTTCTCTAACCGGGATGTATTAATATCAGGGTAAATTTTTGCTACCTAGAAAATTCATGTGAATAGCATATAA